ACCGACACCGAGTCGGCGCTGGCGTTCGCGTGGTCGTAAAAGACGGGGGCGGCGGGGGTGGAGGGTGTAGTGGCACCGAGGAAGGACGACGAAAAGTCGAGCGTGGGGAGGACGAAGGACTGCGCGGGGTCCATTCCCTGCGCCGGTTCCTCGAGGCCCATGCCCGAGAGGATCGACGACGTTTCCGAGAACGCGTCCTCATCCTCTTCGTCAAAGAGCGGGTCAAAGGTGGATGTAGTCTCCTCGAGCACACACCACCCCGTCCCGCTCTCCCCTAGCACGCCGCGCACCGCGGCCTTGCTCCACCCGCGGAACTCGACCTTCAGCACGTTGCATACGCCCTCCGTCCCCGCAGCAACGGTAGAGGCGTACGCGGCGCAGGTGACGCCGCGCGACCACACGTCTGCGACGTCTAGGCGCTGGAAGAGGGACGCGACGCGCGCGGCGTGCGTTTCGTGCGCGGTGTGCAGGGTGAGGAGCGCGGGGAGGGGGAGGCGGCCTGTGCTTCCAGAGGTGACAGAAGTAGAGGGGAACTCGGGGAGCGGCGCGCGCGAGGTGGGGGTGGGCGCGAGGGGGACGAGGAGGGTGGTGGTGACCGCGGGGAGGGCGGGCGCGGCGAAGTAGTGGTCGATCTCCGCCTCGGTCTCCGGAGCGGCTACGACGACCTTGGGCTTAGCGGTGGGCTTAAGTAGCTCCTTGGACGCCTGGGCAACAGCCGCAGCGCGCTTGGAGGCGGGCCGGCGCAGCGCCTGCCGCTCCTTGTGCATGTTCACCTCCCAGTCCGCCTCGTAGAACGCGCGGCCCGCAACGGGGATGTTGTCCGCGAGCTGCTGGAAGATCGGGCGGCCGGAGGAGAAGTTGCGCGCGGTGCCGAGCCCGACTTGGGTCATACCACGGGGCACCACGGGCCCGCGCGGGAGGAAGCGGCTCTGGACCGGGCGCGCGAGGGTCGTGCGCGCGGCGAAGGAGAGACGCTGGTGGATGCTCGGGTTCGCGGCATGGAACGAGCGAGCGACGGAGACGGTATTTCCGAGGCCCGGGGCGGTGAGGTGGCCGACGAAGCGGGTGAGGGCGAGACGAGTTTGGGTGAGGAGTTTTTGGCCGAGGCCGGTGGCTTGGGGACGGACGGCGGAGGGGATGTGTAGAGATCTGGCTGTTTGGGGGGCTTTGCGGGTTAAAACCCGCACCCCGTGTGATGCTAGCTGCATCGTTGCCTTTCGTGTGGTGGTAAGAGACAAAGCTGAAAGTACTGTGGAGCCGAGCGCTTTCGTATGTACTTTGCCGTGTGGCAGTGCTTGGCGGTGTCCGGTATATCCTGCGGATCAGCCGTTTCGCTTACCCCTATCACTACTTAATGTAATTCAAGGTATTTACGCCGTTCGGTTTCTTGGAATGAGTTTTCCCGTCAGTGTTGATGAAAAAAGAACGACGTCTCGACAGATGGCTTGAACTCGATTCGAACGAGTGACTTCCGCAGAGCAAATTGACAAAGGCACACATGCATGTATTGCGGATGTGGACCCATCCACCAAGCCTTTCCTACCATGTTCCTACTCCGCATATGCGGGCATCTTTTTTCTCTCTGACATTTCGGTCAGCTAAAGGGTGTATATTTCAACAACCTGTCATGTTATTAGGCATAAGTAGTGTTAAATTTACTTGATTTCAAAATTACTTAGGTCAGTACCATTAGCCCCCCGCCCCAGACTGAAAATGATAAAAATTATTCCAGAGTTGCAAGGCATTGATAAAAGAAAAAGGATATGTTTGGCATATGGCTCGGGCCCGAATCGAACGAACATTGTCTGCTCAAACACGAGATCCTCAAACATTCCGCAGAAATGGACCATCCACCACCGAGCCTTCCTACTCTGATTCCTGCGCAAAATCATGTACCTGAAAAAATGCATTGGGAATGGATGTGAATCAGTGTGATACCTCGGTCTGGCGCAGCTTCAGCAAATATCATAATTTGTTTGAACCTGCCAGTGGCATGATAGTGATACCTGGATTACCCCTGTTCACACCGTACCTGAATTGTTCTTTTGCACATCTGCCCTGACTCGGAAACTCAAAAAAAGTCTTGGCTTATCGCTATTGCCCTATGGCTGTGCCTCGAATCGAACAAGGAGCTTTTGCTGAGTACCAAAGGCATTTGTCAATTATGTATTGCAGATGCGGACCATCCACCACCCAGCAACCACCCAGCGCTTCGAACATCTCTTGTTTCTGCCCCCTGACATGCGGGCAGGTTTTGGTCAGCCTGAGGGAGGGAAGACACAGATGGCCCAGTAACCATGACCAATGTTGTAAATTTGGTCAACCACAGAGGTGAATGTGTTGAACCCTCCGACCGGGAGCACAGGAAATTTGAATCTCAGATCAACTTTCTCAGGGGTTCATGCAAAAAGACACAAGCCTTTAATGGCTCAGGCTCGATTCGAACAGACATCTTCTGCAGAACATGCGGAAAGACCTTCAACACATTGCAGAGGTGGACCACCCACCACTGAGCCTTTCTACCCCCATTCCTGCTCAAAATAGATACATTTGAAAAGAGCCAATGGGAACCCGGAAAACAGAAGTAAACCCGGTGTGATATCGTTCGTTGGGCACAGCTTCAGCCAATGAAATAATTTTTGAACTTGATATCAGTTATTGGGACCTGAGTTGTCCATGTTCACTTTTTCCCTGCCTCAGAAGCTCAAATAAAAAAAAGCTGGAGCACAATCTTGGATGGCTGGGCCTCGAATCGAATGAGGAACTTCTGCTGAATGCACAGCATCCCAAGCCATGTATTGCAGATGCGGGACCATCGACCACCCAGCCTTTCCTCTCTTGTTCCTACTCTGGTAATGCAGGCACGTGTTGGTCAGACTGAGGGAAGGAAGAGGCACAGGAATTAATCATAACTAGTGTAGTACATTTGGTCAAACAAAGCATGGTTTAACTACCAACCATGAGCCCAGGAAGTTTTAACCTCAGATCAGCTTTGTGTAGAGGTTCATGGAAAAAACTGAAATCAATTTTGCGCATGGCTCAGGCCCAATTTGAATGAGCATGTTCTGCTGAAACCTATGGCAAGCTGGTGCACCCATTGCAAAGGTGGACCATCCATCACTAAGCCTTTCTACTCTGATTCCTGCTCAAAATGTGTTTGAACAATGCAGTAGGAAGGAAGGTGAACTCAGTGCTATACCTGTGTCTCCATTTGTTTAGTTTTACTGCAGAAGCTTAAAAAACACACTGCAAGAAATTGCATGGCCGGACCTCGAATCGAACGAGGAATTTCTGCTGAACAAGTGGTATTCGGGAGCACATATTGCAGATGCGGACCACCTGCCACCCGGCCTTTCCTCTCTTGGACATAGGGGCATTTTTTGGGTAGCCTGAGGAGGGAATAGGCATAGGAATTAGTCATGGACAGTATAGTAAATATGGTCAAACAGGGAATGGTTGAAATCTCAACCACGAGCCCGGGAAGTTTGAACCTCAGATCGGCTTTGTGTAGAGGGTCTTGCAAAAAGGCAGAAAAACAACTCGTAATAATCATGGCTCAGGCCCGATTCGAACAAGCTTCTTCTGCTGAAACTTTATGACACACTTGGGTACACATTACAGATGAAAGAGGTGGACCACCCACCACCAAGCCTTTCTACTCTGATTCCTGCTCAAAATATGTTGAAAAGATTCGGTAAGAAGGAAGGTTAATTCGGCATTATACCTATGCCTACATTTGTTTAGTTTTGCTTCAGAAGCTTAAAAAACACACCACAAGAAATTGCATGGCCGGACCTTGAATCAAACGAGGAATTTCTGCTGAGTAAGCAGCGTTGTATTGCAGACGCGAACCACCTGCCACCTAGCCTTTTCTCTCTTGTTCCTGCCCTGGGCATGCAGGCGGACTTTGATTAGCCAGAGGAAAGACTAATCAATTATGACTGGTGTAGTAAATAGGAAGATGAGTGAATTTTTGAACCCTTCAACCAGGAGCTGAGGAAACTTGAACCTCAGATCAGCTTTCCTTGGACTGGGTAGGAGGTTCTTGCAAAAAGGCAGAAAAACTTGGAAATAACACTTAGTAATGGCCCAGGCCCGATTCGAACAAGAATCTTTGTTATGGCAAGCTGGTGTACCCATTACAGAGGTGGACCGTCCACCACCGAGCCTTTCCACTGCAGTTCCTGTTCAAAATATATCCTCCACCGTGTAAGTACTATATGTAGTGGCAAAACTGTGCACCTTGAGTCATGTTGGCACTGGTCGCATGCACAGAGGTAAGACTCAGAGGCAAAGGATCAAGTGATTGTCATGTGGTTGAACTGTGCAACCAGGAGGGAGTGAACATTTGAACCTGCTCAGACTGAGTGGGACGTTCATAAAAAGAGAAAAAAACCTCCAACTCAAATGGCCCAGGCTCAATTCGAACGAGCAACTTCTGTTGAAAGTCCAACTGCACGGGAGCAAACATGTTACAGATGCAGACTATCTGCTACCGGGTCTTTCTAGCTGTTCAGTTTCCCTGAAATGTACATGTATCTGAAGGTTCAGTGCAGAGAAGTGCGAACCATTATAGTTCTCTACTAGATTTTTTAACCACAAAAACCTGGCTTACTGATACATGGACTGAAGTACCCAGTGGCCTGAAAATGTATGAAAAAAGAGATTCTCCATGCCCAGGGCCGGGCCTCGAATCGAACGAGGAACCTCTGCTGAATCTTGCATACACCAACAATTGTGATATACTGCAGATGCGGGCCGCCCGCCACCAGCCATTGCTCTCTTATACCTACCTCGGACATGTAGGCTTTTTTTTACTAGCCCGAGGGGAGTGAAGAGGGACAGGAATTAATCATGACCAGTGTAGAAATTTTTGGTTAAACAGAGAAGTGAATGGCTGAACTCCAACTAGGAGGCCTAGGGAGTGCAATTTTGAATGAATGAAGTCGTAGAGGAAGTAGTTCACAAATTTAAAAAGAGTAGAAAACTACAACATCAAATGGCTCGGGCTCGATTCGAACGAGCATTGAGTTCTGACACTGTTGAAATACACGTCATTTCTGCTTTGAACGTGTTACAGATGCAGACCCTCTGCCACCGAGCCTGTGAGGGAAGGAAGAAAGACAAATGGTCAACTCATTTACAGACCCTGGGGCTTTGTTGGTCAAAGCGGGCAAGGGATCATTGATGGTTCAACTACACCTAGTAGGTGAGAAAGACCAAAAATGCTTGAGCTTTCAGCCTGGCTTCGGTAGACAGGCGTTGAGAAAGAAAAAAAGACATTTTTGACTCGGGCTCGATTCGAACGAGCAGCTTCTGTTGAATGTATTTAGCCACACATGTACCGTCGTACACCGTTCAGATGCGGACCATCCGCCACCGAGCCTTTCTGGATCTGTTCTTACCACCTTATTTCCCGTATAGCGGAAGCATGCCTCACGGGCCCCATGTTGCAAGCGATGTATTCCCAACCGAGTATGTAATCAAGTGTCAAGGGAGCTGGGACTGGAGTAGAGCACAGACAGGCGAGTCTTGATTGATGTCCGAGGTGTAAGGGTTCAACCCCGGAAAACAATCAACCAGAGAGGCCTTTTGAAATTTGAATGTCGGTAGAAGCGGAAAGGAAATGCCAGAAAAGATGACGCATGAATGATAGTTGAAATGATTAACGCCCGTCAAACACCAGCAGTACTTCCATAATGATAGTGAATTAGAGTCTGCCATCGGTGACTTGGACCCTATTTCAACACAGTGCCTTGTGGCAGGGCGACGGTATCACAGAGACAGAGCAATCGGCGACATGGAAACAAAAGGAGAAAGCGTGTTGTTTGTCTTTGCTTTTGATTTGAGCTTAACAGCCCACCGCGTGTTGGTTCATTTCAGCTTTGACCACCACACACACCATGTCCGCCAGACGGCAGGCATCTACAACCTCTCTTGCAAAATATGCCAGGGGCTCCGACATCGGGCCCCACGACCGATCCGTCGATTTCTGCAATGCATTCTGGGGCTACGCCGACAGCGGCGTCGATGTGCTCTTTGCGCGCATGCGCGGCGCCGCGAGGACGACGGACGAGCTACGAAATTTCTGGAAGGAGAGGTGCGTCCGTCCGCGTGGGTTCCGGGTGGCATTCATTTATTGTGTGAATTAGGGCGGCGATTGAGGACGAGTATGCGAAAAGGCTTGCAAAGTTGGCGAAACAGGTGCTGGGCAGGGATGAGATAGGGTGAGTCGATGCTACGGATATGCTCTTGGACCATCTTTGAAGCTGGGTCCGCGGCTTGGGCAATTCAACTTGAATGGATGTGGCTTCGATCCACCATCCATCGAGGCTCGTACGATTGGATTCAAGCCTCAAATGGACGCTCTAATTGCCAGCCCATTTTTGGGCTTATCTCGGGCTTTGAGCCCGGCCCTGCGCCTAATGCGAACATCAGGCAGAGCTTCATTGCGCCGCCGTCGGCGTCCATGAATGGTCGCTGATGTGCAGCGTAATCTGGGGATTGCGCTAGATTCGACTGGGTGATACACGACCACATGGCACGGCGGTATCATGGTAGCGGCTGAACTACATGAGACCGAACCGGCTCTACAACTTTTGAATAGCGAGACTAATTAACACACAGCGAACTGCGCAACTCCCTCGACACTATCCGCACCGAAACCGGGCGCCAAGCGCAGTACCACCTCACTCTCGCGCAGCAGGTCCGCGGCGACCTCGAGGCCCAGACCGCCGCCTTCCACGCCAAACAGACGCACCACCGCAAGAACTACCAGTCCGCCATCGAAAAGTCCTTCAAGGCCAAACAAACCCAAGAATCCTACGTAGCGAAGGCGCGCGAGAAGTACGAGACGGACTGCATGTGCATCAACTCGTACACCACGCAGCTGGGGCTCGTGCAGGGCCGCGACGCGGAGCGCATCCACCTGAAGCTCGAGCGCGCGCAGAAGACGGTGGTGCAGAATGAGCGCGATTTTGCGAATTTCGCGAGGGCGCTGGGGGAGGGCGTGGAGCGGTGGGAGCAGGAGTGGCGCGTATTTTGCGATGCGTGCCAGGATTTGGAGGAGGACAGACTGGAGTTTACGAAGGACAATATGTGGGCTTATGCGAACGCTGTGTCGACGGTGTGTGTGTCGGACGACGAGGTGTGTTGCGTGCCGTTATAATTCTTCGATTTAATCTAACTAACATTCGCGCAGTCTTGCGAAAAAATGCGCCTCGCACTCGAACAAATGGAGCCCGCTAAAGACATGGAGGCCTTCGTGCGCGACTACGGCACGGGCAACCAGATCCCCGACCCCCCCTTCTTCGTCAACTTCTCCGATCCCAACGCCATCCCGAGCTCGTCGTCCCGACCCACGTTCCGCGCCGCGGAGTTCGCACGGTCGTCGCAGCGCGCGGCGCCGCTGAGGCAGAATTCCGCCCAGCCGGAAGAGGATTTGGAGTTGGCAGGGGAGGGGGTGAATATGACGGGCGTGGGGGCGGTGAGACGGGGGGACGACCCGAGTGCGGCGGCGGCGGCGACGGTGTCGCGCCAGAACACACAGAGCCGACGAGCGGCGGAGCAGCAGCAGCAGCAAGCGCAACAATACCAACCTCAACCCCGCCAGCAACAGCAGCAGCCCAACGGTTTCGCCACACCTTCGCCCACGGCCACGACCAATGGGGACGTGGCCCGGCAACCCACGACCGCCACGAGAACGTCCCGCTCGCCGTCGTACCGCGTCCCCCCGCGCGACCCGCTCGCGGAGCCGATCGACCCCAACGCGGATACCTTCATCAAGGTGGGGCCGAATGCGTATCGGGTGGATCTGGCGCGGGATCCAACTGCGACGCAGCAGCAGGGACGTCCGGTGTCGCAGAACATGACCGGCGGGGCAAATCGGGGGGCGTCGCCGCAGGGTGGTCCTAGCGGAAACAGTAATGGGAACGCGATGGACCCGCTGGCGCGGCAGATGGAGGAGCTGGCGATGCAGAGCCAGGGGACGATCCGGAGGAATTCGCGGTCGAGGAGTGTGCGGCGCGGGGCGGGGGACGGTTCGGCCCAGCAGGCCCAAAATCAGCACGCAGCGCCGCAACATCAGACGCGGCCCTCCTCGTCGATGTCGATGTCGCTCGCTGCGCCCCACACGCAGCAGCAGCAGCAACACCAACAGCAACAAAGGGCACCGTCGCCAGGGCGGGACTACCGCTATTCCGCGGACGCCGTCGTCGGCGCGCACCCGTCGCTCTCGCGCCCCGCGTCGCCGAACCCAGCGCCCATCACCGCCGCGTTCATGCGTCCCGCCTCGGCCGCGTCCGCGGCGGGGGTGGGGCGCCCCGGGTCGGAGATCATCGCGGACGTGCTGACGGACTACCAGCAGAGCCTGCCGGGGGAGCGCAAGACCGTCAGCCGCGCGGGGAGCCGGAGGGGGAGCTACTCGTCGGGGGTGGGGGTGCCGGCGCCGGGGCAGGGGCAGGGGCACGCGTATAATGCGAGCGGGAGCTCGCAGGCGAGCCACGGGCAGAATCTGGCGAGGCCGACGAGCCAGATGGGGTATGCGGGGATCGGGTCGGGGTCGAGGAGCAGTAGTCCGCAGCCGCAGTCGATATCGCGCGGGCCCAGCCCCGCGCCCGGCCCCGCGCCAGGGAATGCGAACCCGAATGCAAGGCAGAGCTTCATCGCGCCGCCGTCGGCGTCGAGCAGCATGAATAGCCGCAACGGCGCGGCGAGCCCGAATAATCTGGGGATTGCGCTGGACCCGAGTGGGCGGGTGATACACGACGAGATGGCGCAGCGGTATCAGCAGCAGCAGGCACCACAGCAGCAGCAACAGCGCCAGTCGATGGCGGCGCCGCCGTCGCAAGGCGCGTACAACCAGCCGCAACGGCGGGTGAGCTACATGGGGCCGGGGACGGTGACGCCCGCCCCCCCGCCGCCGCCGCCTCAGCAGCCGGCATATGGCGCGATGACACCGTACCAACCCCAGCCGGGCTACGTCCCGCCGCCGCCGCCCCTGCAGCAGTCGTACACCCCCGCGCCGTACCAGGCCCCGCCGCCCGCGCAGCAGCAGCAGCAGCAGGTGTATCAGCCGCAGCCGCACGCGAGCGCGTACCAGACGGTGAATGGGCTGCAGAATGGGCTGCAGCGCGGGGTGTCGACGGGGAGCGGGGGATACTATTCGGATGGGCGGCAGCAGCAGCAGCAGCAACCCCAGCAGCATCAGCAGCAACTCGTACGGGTTAGTCCTCAGCAGCAGCAGCTTGTGCGCGCGCCGCAGCAGCAACATCTGCAGCTACAGCCTGTACATCAGGCGCCTGTGCGGCGCTCGCCGTCGCCGCAGCCTCAGCAGCCCACGCAGACTACTTCCGACGGAAAGTGGATCATGTTCTATGGTGCGTTCTTCGTCTTTTGCGTTTCTTCTCGTGACTCACTCACAACCTGTTTGCAGTCAAAGCGCTGTTCGACTACCGGGCGACGATCGACGAGGAGTTTGACTTCCAGGAGGGCGATATCATTGCGGTGACTGCCACGCCCGAGGACGGGTGGTGGAGCGGCGAGCTGCTGGACGACGGGCGGCGCGTTCCGGGGAAACATATATTCCCGAGTAATTTCGTCGTGTTGTTCTGAGGGACACTGTGCGCAGGATGGGATGATTTTTCGTGCTTCTATGTAGACTATGCTGTGTGTGTACTTTACTGCAATGTTGAATGTAATGTTTGCAAACGGGCGAGAACGATTGTCGATTGTATTTGTCTTGCTAACGTAGATGGTGGCTACGTTTGCCGCGCGGTCTCGGCTCATGCCCTGCAATTGAAGCTCTGCCTTAGCGTGGGCGTGGCAGTTTGTAAAAGGGAACACCACGCATAGCCAAGACCAGTTGGAGCATTTCGAGAGCCTCCGCGTCAAGCAGTCGATAGATTGTCTTCCTCTTCCGAAGTCGAAAATCGAGGCGGGTCTGCGCATTGGAACGCGATCATCCGAAGCGCCAGAGGAGCAGGACATGCGCCGAAGCAGAGCTACACTCCAGTTGAGAGAAACTGCGGCTTCCAGAACGAGCGCGACAAGATCTATGGAACCGCTCTGACAGGGCACAAGATGGAAACTGTAGTTTCGGAATGA